AACAGAATCTCTCTCACACACACAAAATACAGAGAGACAAGAGGCAAACAGAATCTCTCTCACACACACAGAATACAGAAACAGACAGAGGCAAATATAAGAGACAGCACCACACACACACCACTTATCGAACACGCGCACAGACGTGGGTACAGCAAACGCACCGACGTGTGTACCGCAAACATACACACGGATTTTCATCTCATCATGGAACGGGGAAGATTCGAAAAGCGCCCATGGATTTGCGGCTCCTCGTTAACACACACACACAGAGACACGTGTGTGTTTGGCGAAGGCAAGACCGACCCCCCACTAAATAGAACACCGCGGAGAAAAGAGATTTCGGTACAAAGACAATCGACGATTAGAGCACAATTAACAATCTACTTAGAATTAAGAGATATCGTCACATATAAAGACAATCGACGATAAGAGCACAATTTAACAATCTACTTCAAATTACACCCGACTTCCTCAGTCGGTTGTTGACGTCCTACTTCTCTCGTCTCACGTCTCGCGCGTGTCTCGCGCGTGTTGACTAACCGAATGCATACTGATGAATATTAGCTACGTACAAGAAGACAACGTAAAGAAGAGGATGGATGGATGGATACTACGGAAGAAGACTCAAACAGAGATTAAGAGTTGATCAAAATGGAGCCTCGCTCAACTACTCGTCAAATGTGCAAAATGAGAATGAATCTTCCGCTCGAACATGGGAAGATACACCGCAATATTGTTTTGGTCTTTTGTGCATGTGGTGGTTACCCGAGCGAGGCCCAACCAATACCACCACAAACAACGGAGTATAGTGCGGAAAAAAAAGGAAAATAAAAGAAAAGGAAAATAAAAGAAAAAGATGTGTACACTCGACAGACTACACCGCAAGAAACCGTCCAGTCGGTTAACTAAAACGACAAAAAAAAAAAAAAAAAAAAAAAAACCTTGGCGGGCAACACCCCGAGCGAGAAAGGCTAGATGATGAAAGTCATACTCGCACTCGGGGCTTTTTTCTCAAATGAATCGAGTCGTAATTCACGTCAGATTCATTCGGATAGGGACATGGAAGATGGAAGCCGCCCCCCCCCCCGATCAAGCCCCTTCCCACACAGTGGGACAGACGTTCGACTGCATGCACTCGTTCGTTATCAACAACGGATTCATTCAAAAAGCTCCTCGATTTATACACGAACGCGGGGCTTTTACTCAAATGAATCGAGTCGAAATTGACGTCAGATTCATTAGCATAGGGACACGAAGCTTCCCCCCCCCCCCCCCCCGCGGCCCTTCTCCCTCCGATCAAGTCCCGATACTCACACACTGGGGAAACTTTCGAATCCATCCAGAGTCGTTATTGACGACAGATTCATTCAAAAAGCTCCCGTCGAGTCATTGTGTCATCCATATTCCACTAGAGGTTCTCACACCGAAGGAATAAAGAGAGAAGCTCAAGGCAACCTCGACGTAGCTCTCGCTAAGAGCAGTGAAACAAAAAAAAAGAAAAAAAAAGGAAAAAGAAAACCAGCGCCGCCACCGCGAGTCGGGGTACAGATTGTCAATCAAACAGCTAGGTGGTAGGGATCCGGATGCCATCATCATCATCCATCATCCCTCATCATCGTTCGTTGGGTTAACGTACAACGCACTAAGAGAGAACAATCAAATGCAGCCTGCACTCTATCGTTTCACCAACCACCTCCTCTCTCAGCTCACCATCAGGTCTTGTTAGAGATGATAAGAGATTCAGGATTTCAAAAGGTCAGGTCGTTTTTTCAGTCGTAACCTTGTCAAAGAGTCCGCAGTCCGTTAAAGAAATTTATTTCACCTTATCAACAACAACAGTGAACAATTTTGAAGTTCACCTTTTCAGTCTGAGATGCAACGCATTTGAAGTTCACCTCCTCTCTCTCTCTCTCTCTCTCTTTCTCTCTCTCTCACACACATACACAAACACAAACACACACACAAACACAAACACAAACAAACACACACACACAAACACAAACACACACACACAAATACAGAAACAGACAAGAGGCAAACAGAATCTCTCTCACACACACAAAATACAGAGAGACAAGAGGCAAACAGAATCTCTCTCACACACACAGAATACAGAAACAGACAGAGGCAAACAGAATCTCTCTCACACACACACAAAATACAGAAACAGAGAGGCAAACAGAATCTCTCTCACACACACAAAATACAGAAAAGGACAGACACAAATCGCAGACGAGAAGCAGAAAGGAGATAAGAGATTGGAAGGTGAGGGGATCCTCTCTCACCTGATCAACAACGCCACCAAGAAGTTGCCTGAGATGCAAGGAGTTGAAGTTGAGCTCCGTTTCGGCGGCGATGGAAGATTCCAAAGACAAGTCGTCATCTTCATCGAGCATGGAGTGCGCAATCCTCTCAGCGATTTCTTGCCCATCAAACACAGCATCAAGATCGTCCGACGAATTGCCATCTGACGAATCCGTCGAGTGGGATGCAGACGTAAGTCTCCAGGATCTGTGGTTGGGATCTGGGTCACACGAAAACATGGATGGGAAATGATAAGGGGTATTCTTCTCTGAAGAAGGCATCAACAACGGGAAGTAGCTGTCGACAAAACCCCCTCCTCCAAAGCAACTACCACCACCACCACCCCCTCCGCCTCCTCCCAGTCCTCCTAATCCTCCTCCCCGCCGGTCTTGATCGCATAGCAGATTACTGCCGAATCTCGCGTCGCCATCTTTCTCTGTCAAATGAGATCTAATTAGACCGTGCACTCGAGCAATTTCAACGGCCATGATTAATTACTTGATTGATTGATTGATTGATCTATTGATGATTGACCTCTGCTGATGCTCCTGGCAATCTGCGGAATCCTCCTCGACTCGATACCCGCAAAATCCCTCAAATAAAAGAGGGCAATATTTAGCTTACGAAAAGTAAATACACACCACCACCTCTTCACTCCCACCTCTGTCTCCCGCCTCTTTCTCCTTCTCTTCTCTCCAGATTCAATCTCTCAGAGTCTAGATCCAGCTCATCAGCAACTGCCACGTCACGTCTCTCACTCTTCCGCTCCAATACAAAATAACATATAATTCCGACACACACTCCTTTCCCCTCCCCCCCCTTCTTCCCACACACACTGTGAACACCTCTACTGCTCTCACAGATCGATCCCACCTCCCCTTTCACACCTCTTCACCCCTCTTCTACTTCTACAACTCTTAAGAGTGATATCGTTCTCCTTTCCACCCCTCCACACCAGCTTTTTCGCTTCAAACACCGCCCTCATTCGTCAAATCTCACTCAAATCGCCTCTCTCTCTCTCTCTCTCTCTCTCTCTCTCTCTCTCTCTCTCTCTCTCTCTCTCTCTCGCTCTGTGTGTGTGTGTGTGTGTGTGTTATTCCTGATGGAAACAGCCCCGACGGGCGATTGGAAAATGCCCAAGACGAGCAAAACATGACCTCACAAATACGAAGATCGGCGTTAGAACAGGGAACGACGGAAGCGTAACGCACCTCCCTCCTCCTCCTCCTCCTCCCTCTCCCACCTACGCCGCCTCTCTGCTGCCAAGCGCTGGTCCACTGCCTCGAAGACCGAGGAAACGCGCATCGTCCCGCAGCGAGGAGGTGCTTGCTGATCGCGCTCGCACCGGGTCACGTACTGCCACCCCGCGGTACCAGCGACCACCAAGGCACAACAGGATCTCTGCACCTGCCACTGCCTGACCTATCAACTGTTCAAACACGACAAATCGTCGTTCATTTGTTGAGCACGGGTGCATGCGTGCGTGCGGTCCGCCGTGCGCGATTGCTCCT